ATTCATGTCATTTTGAACTCGTTTTACTGATCTCATCATCATTTCCAGTAGAGAAAGAGATTCTTCTAGCAATAACATTTGTGTTGTAGTGGTCTCAATTGTGTATGACCTTGTAATCTCCTGAGACACAGAAAATTCAACTGACCTGGCTATCTGAAGGAGATTGAACCCTGTCATGACATTTGTGCCATCGGTATTTGTTGCATTGAGTTCCATTAGTTCCATGACAGCCATCTCGAAAGACATTACAAATGCAAATGAGTATTCCGAATCAGCTTTTTCCATCAACATCGACAATCTTTCAAAGATGGCTACAGGGATACCAATTCCTGTTTCGTGTAAAACTTCCAGTTGAATAATTACCCTTGATAGTAATGCCTGGATCTGCTTCCGAGTAAAGATATTGCGTGAGTAATCTACATCAAAAGCAAGATCTATAGTTCTGACCATTAATGACTCTTCTAATTCCTGACTGAACATTATTACCTCCATTAGATTTCTTATCATCATTCCTTCTTCAAGTGTTCCAAACTTGAATTTTAACAACATTAAATATCTATCGAGTTCGTCGAGATCGTCTTCAGAAGCTTGACCATCTTCAATTATCTGAAGAAGAATAAAAATTCTCTCCAGCTCCAAAATTTCAACTGGGTCTGAATCAAAGTCAGGTATCCCAAAAAAGTCTGAGAGGTCAGTAAACAGATCTAGAGCACTGGTGACACTTTCTTCCGATCTCCTGTTAATCATAAGTGATACTTCTCTTCGCTGTTCTGACTGGGAAGTCTCAACTTCAAGAGCAACCTTAGTTGAAACAACTATAAGGTCATGCATTACTTTCATAATTCCTTTAACACTAGTTTTTCTCATCAGTATCATTTCAAGTTCTTGAAGAACGTCTTTAAAGAATACAAGTGTATCTCTTCTCATGCTTACAACACTTAGACTCAAGGTGGACAACTCTTCTCCAAACATTCTAATCATCTCATTTTCTTCACTCTCTTGTGTTTCTTCGCCAATTTCAGCAGTAATGTTTTCTAGGACGTCAGTCAATTTTATAAACAGACTTTGAGCCTCCAGCAGAGTTTCTGTCAGAGAGAATCTCTCTATTCGAGATTCTAACTGAGCTCTTTCAATGGAAATACTATTTGCAGTGAACGCAATGGAACTAATGATTTCTTCGGCTATCTCAAGGCTTCCAACAAAAGTAGATCCTATTATTTCTATGTTTTTATAAATTTCCTCCAGTCGTATTGCAGATTCGGTAATCATCATTATGTCTTCCATAAGTATGTCTCTCAATTCTATCATTTTGCTATCTGGTTCATTATCGTCATTAATGTTTGCAGATATATTCAAAAGTGCATCTTGTGTCTTCAGAAGTACTGTTTCTGTTCTATCCAGTGCTATCAGAGCTTCAGTTTCATCACTCAGACCTGAGAGCACATTTTTACTGTTCGTAGCTTCATCAAGTTTAATGGAGGCAATCGACTGTAACTGTCTAAGGCCTGCAATGGCAGTGTCAGTTACGCTTAATCCCTCCAACAATAAGGCACTCTCTTGAAGTGTCATGATCTGTTCCATGGTCAGAGATTCTATGGATAAAGTTTCAATGAAAACAATAAGCTCACTAACAGTTTCATCCTCTTCCTCTGATGTAGAAAGTTCAAAACCGATACTTAACTCAGAAGCAGTGTGAATTATCCTTTGGAGAAGAGAAGATCCCTTGCTGAATGTGGTAGTCTTCAAAGAACGATCGACTGAAACTTGTATGTGTGAAATTTCCATTTCCACAGTTTCTTGCACAAGAACAACAAGTGTTTTTGCATTATCTAGGCCAATTATTCCTATTCCAGTACTGACTGTCGTATTCTTCAGGAACATCAGTATTTCTTCTAGTCTTATGACAATATCCAGGGAAATAGTGACTCCATTGTTAATATCAATAAAGATTTCGATTACATTTGTAATTTCTGTGATTTCGATTTCCTCATTTGCATTTCCAACTTCTGATATGAAAGTAGCAAAAATCTCTTCCATTTCCGATATAACTTTCTTTGCTTTGTTAAGCCTACTCACAGTACTGCGTTGCTCTGAAATACGTCTATTATCCTTCAGAGATGTTTCAGCACGTTTCTTGACAGATGTAAGTGTTTCTAAGGTATTAGCAATCACACGGACATCAACTTCATCCTCATCATAGAGGAAAAATATTTCCTCCTGGAAAAATTCCAGATCCCCGGCTAAATCTGCAGTAAGCTCTCCAAAGAGAATACTATTCAGCACATGGTTCAAGTCTTCAATAATAAACGGCATAGGGATAGATTCTGATTGTTCTAAACTGCCAAAGAATTCAAAAGCAAATACCAGTTCTTCCTCAATTATGTTGAGAGATGAGACAGATTGAGTTAACTGATCAATTTGACTCTGTGCCTCTTGCGCTGACACACGAAACTGGATCTCAGATTGAAATACTGACTTAGTTTCCTCTGATAAAGACAGTAAATAGAATATACTCGGGATTTCGACTCCAACAGTGACGGAATTTTTTAGGGTTTTCAAGTCCTCCAATTTGCTCTCAAGCAGTGTAATATCTATGGCTGACGACGGCGAACTGGAAAGACTTTCCATGAGAATGACAGTGGAAGTGACCAACTCATTTTCCTCCCCTACTGAAGTTATTGTTCCAGTCGTTGAAATTATTTCCATTACTACATTGGTGATTTGTACTACAACATTAAGAACAAGTTCAAAGGAACTTATTTCTTCAATTAGCAAAAACCTATCCTGCTGCTCATAAAGACGCCTGTTAGCACTATCAGCGGCCTCCTGAGCAGCTGACATACAGTCTACAAGATTTCCAATTCCTTCATCTGGACCAAGCATATCAAGTGTTGCTTGTACTATTAAGAAAACTTCTGTGGCTTCAAAAATGTCCTCTTCCGTAATCGAATCTACATTTGCTGATATGCGTTTGAAAAAGTCAATTAAGAAATCAACATCGGGATCGTTTTCTCCAATAAGCTTAGATGCATCAGCATTTTGAATGAATATCATTGAGTCAAAAAGTAATGTATCCACTGCTTCAATAACAGCACTTGCATGACGAATGTTGACTGTTATTTCGTAAATTTCTCTTGATTCAGATATATAAGTTTGCACAGAATCTTCAGCTTCTCTAGTGACAAGTTCAAGCTCTTCAATGATTTCGAGCCTTTCGTTTTCTGCAATGATATTCTCAAGTTGGACAGCAAATCCATCAATATCCTGAATATTTACAGATCTAACATTGTTCCTAATTTGGGTCATGGCTGCCACAAAGTTATCGGCGTTGAATTCGGTCGTGGTTGAAATTGTAGTAATCAGTTCCATACTTTCGAAGGCAAAGAAGATCCTAAAAAGAATGGATAATAAATCATCTCCAAATATAATATTCTGGACAAGATTTTGTTGCTCTTGCTCTGTTTCAATAGTTTCTTCAAACCTTACAGTAAGCGAGGTAACTTGTTGGAAAATTTGTTGAATACTGTAGGTATATCCACTGATGCTGTATGTACCATCAGCTTCAACTGCAACATTACTTATTTCATCCAAGAATATATTAAGTGTTTTGATGTCAGCATCTGTTATTGAACTTGCTTTACCGATCAAGAAAGTGATAACCTCATAGTATTCATCAAGGACAAAACTTTTCTGTGCCTCTGAGCCCTCCTCCACTTCAGAGTTTATAGCAAGCAACTCCTGCAGGTAGAAGTTTATTTCTAAAATGGTTGTCAGACTGGTTTCATATAAAGTTAGTTTGCTGAAAGACAGTTCAATTTTATTCACTTCTTTCATAAATACTTGGTCCACACGACTAACTTCTGAAATAGCCTGAACCAATCCTGCAATTTGTATGTCACTACCGACCTCAAAATCTAGAACAAAATCTTCCAAAATTATCAATTCGGCTTCAAGAGCTTCCAACTCAACAGAGGAAATGTTTGTCAACCTTTTACTTAGGGAAGTTATGGTGGTTACTATGTTGCTAACAGCAGATGACTCAGTAACTACTGTACCTTCTACAGTCAGTTGATTCAGTTCTCTTAAAAGATCCAAAGCATAAACTATTATATCATGTGCATTGAATATTCTCAATGTGAAGTCACCATTTGCATCAGCCTCCTCAATAATCTCAATTTGTTCATCTAATTTAGTTTGTACTGATGTCAAAGTTAAGAGCAGAGTGTCTATGCCAGAATAAGCACCTGATAAATCAGTGATGGTTTCAAGTAAACCTTCCAATATGGAGATTGAAGATAATTTAATGTTAGTAATACTGTTACTCCACCTATTAAGTTCTGTCTGAATGTCTTCAATGAAGATATTAGATTCTAAAATATCCCCTTCTTCTATTCCTGAACTTAGGCCTTGTATGACAATATAAATTTCACTGATTATGTATTCTGCTCCAAACAGGATTTCAATCTTCTCCTTGTTCTTGGCAGATTCTTGTATTGTGTTCAGTGATTTTCCTGTAGTTGTAACCGCTTTTTTGGTTGTGGTAATCAGTTTATCCAGGGTAGCACTGCTCTTACATTCTATTTTACTCTTGAACGTTTCCAAGTATTTCTGCTTGCAATATGTAATTCTTTGAGGAGAACTTATCCATAAACATTTGCAGATCCTGCATCACAGTCTCCAGAGATGCATCAACTACTGAGCTTGAGCCGCTTGAAACTTTGCCTCTTAAAGTGGTAGTGTTTTGTGGAAGAGGCAATCGTATTCATCTTCTCAAACAGAGTTAGTGTTATAACAGTTTCCTCTTTGGATTCATATTCTTCTATCTTCTCAAACAACGTCTCGTCTATTTTACTTCCCTCCTGGACGATATATAAATCAAACCCAACTGACGAATCTACAGAGTCGAAAAGTGTAGTCATTCCATCATACAAACTTTCTAATCTGGCGGTGGTTATATTTATTTTTATTTTGGATGAAAAGTTAGAGTGTTAATGATTGTATTACTCTGTGTAGTGGTGCTCGATGAAGTTATCTCTGTCTTCTGCAGTTTCCACTATAGAAAATACCAAGAAGGAAACCTCGTAGAATATGTCAAGAGATTCACTAATGGCAGTACGAGAAAGGGTTTCTTCAATTTTAGTATTTACTGTTGAAGCTAGTTTGTTGTTTGCAGATACAAGTTGTGCGAAATTTGTTATTGTAAAGGCTTCATTTTTGAGGATCGTTGTAGCTTCTTCCTCAAATGCCTTGATATCTTGAATTTGTGTTACAGTAACAGATTCAATAGATGTTTGTAGGGTGATCAATAGATTAATAAGGCTTGTTGATATCGTAACTGATACGGAAGCGGCTCCTTCAGTGAATGAATTCATTGCAGATGTTAGTAGATCAATTTGTTCCTTGACAATAGATGTGGCGCTTGATAAACTGTCCAAAAGAATTGACTGTTGTTGGGAAGACTCCATAGCCGCATTCTTATCCTGTGCCGCTGTAACTTTGGCAGTTGCTGTTGTGATTTCCGATTGTGTTGTCTCTACAAGAGTGATTTCCTCAGTTGTGAAAGTGACGGTACCGCTTTGAACTTGAGAAAGAAGTGCCTCAAGTTCTGCCTCGGAACTAGTAAGAGTTTCTGCAGAACTGCTGGTGATCGCACCAAGACCAGACTTTATGATGCCCTTCAAGACAGCTGATATTTTTACAATAATATTCACGTTGTTGGTAACACCACCTGCCACGCCAGAGCCTGCCTGTGCTAGTGATTGTTGCAGCGAGCTCATTGATCCTTGGATTGCCGTGATCGACTGCTGAACCTTTGTTATCAGCTCTTTCTTTACTGAAAGGACTTCCTGTTTTTCCTCTCTTTCCGCAACCTTGATAATCTTGCTAGCAAGACGCACCGATTTCTTTGTAGTCGTTTTGAGAATCTTTATGGCAGACTCGGAAAGAATACCTCCTGCTTGTATTTCGATTTATTTTTTAACTTAACTGCCGTCGTAGTAGGATAC